TGGAAGAGAGATTATGGTTCAGTTTGCTAAATACGGCCCCAATGCTGAGCGTATGTAAGTTTTTTGTGTAATGTTATGGGTATTGAGCAATTGGTTTGTTGCAAGTTATGGTCTTTTCATTGTTGAGTGGCTGTTTTATTAATTTGAAAGTTGTTGTTTTGTTTTTTCAATTTCTAGCCACAAGGGTAGGGTGAGTGAATCATCTTCCAAGCTCAAATCAAGGTCCAGAAGCCGCAGCCCTCGTCCAAGGTGATATTTTTTCTTTGCTAGAATTGCATAATTAGTTGTATTCTGATCCTAAGTAGAATTTGGGTAAAGCGATGTCAAACTTTGTGGTCTAATGTAGGGTTGCTAGTTCTTTTGCAACACTGTATATCCATTGCAGTTTCCTTCTTAATAATTTGTGAGTTGGTACTCAGAGCCCACTGTTGCTTTAGTACATCTAGGAATTTAATTTTAGCAGCTGATGGTTCTCATTTGCCATTGATGTGGACACAGCATGTGCAGTTCAAGGGGCATTCTTTTGTAGCATAGGGTCTCTTTGTACTTATCAAAATTTTCTTTTTATTTATTAATCCTTATCTTAGATTGTTGTTTTTCATCTTCCTACATATTTTTTGAGGTTTTGGTGAAATTTTCTATTTTTTTTCAAGGGTCTTACACCATACATCATTTTTCTTTCTCTGTTTATTTTTTCTGAGGGGTGCGGATTGTTTTGGTACATGAATTACTGTTTTTATATTTTATCATTTGGTTCCTAGCATAATTCCAGAGGACCCATGGCCTCTTTAACAGGGCTCAGGTGGGCTCAACAGTCTGAAATTTGAAACACCTCTTATTTCGATCCCAAACACAGCTCGTTTCATGTGTTGAATAGTAGGATCAGGTCTTTACTACTCCTTTATGCTGTATGATGCTATGGGTGGAAGATGTTGTGTTTAAGTGATTTGATTATTGCAATGGCACAGTCCACTTCGGTTTCTATTCTCACTGAACTAAATTTAGATGGGTTTGAGGTGTTTATTTGTAGCTGATACAACTAAATATACTTGTAACTAATTTTGTGCTTTTGAAAAGGTGTGCTACTAACATGACCTTCTTGAACTGTTACCGATTTATTTTCCAGTCTATTTGTGGAAATTAGTCTGCAGCAACTGACCCTATAGATTTTCAGGTATCGAGATGAACATAAGGATAAGGATTACAAGAGAAGTCGCAGTCGAAGTAGGGAGAGACATGGTCGTGACAGGCATCATAGGAGTGAAAGAGAGCATCGCTATAGAAGCAGGAGCCGCAGTGCAAGTCCTGATAATCATAAATCCCGCGAGAGGGGTAGATATGATGATGAGCGGCGCAGTCGGAGCCGGTCATATGGAAGGTATAAAATGTTGTTTCTCTTTCCCCCCAATCTTCTATCATGAACTTTTGTGCCTTACCAAAGTGTTTTTTGGATTCAAAATGGCTGTATTCTTAAGTGCCTCTCCTGCTCGGAATAGCCCTAAATCTCGGAGAAGCCCATCTCCCCGGAGGAGCCTATCTCCCAGGAGGAGTTTATCTCCCCGGAGGAGCCTATCACCTCGGAGGAGCCCATCTCCTCGAAAGAGCCCATCTTCTCGGAGGAGCCCTTCTCCTCGTAGGACACCTTCAAGGGGTGAGAATGCTGATGTACGCAACCGGAACGAGCGCTCTCCTACCCCGAAAGATGTTTCACCACATGGTCGACGTGATGATTCTCCAAGTCCTTCCCCTCGTAAATCTGATGCTGATGTGAGCCCATACACCACACATAGACCTTTAACTTGTTTAGCTTTGGTTGGATTGCAACATTTTATTGGATAAATAAGTCTCTGCATGGGTTTTTTAGGTGGTTATTTTTGTTCTGCAGGAATGATGGACTCGAATACAAAGTTGCCTGGGATGATACTTTTGGCTAGAGCCCTTGTATCTGCGTTCGTAGTTGGGGGAAGAGTTTCATATTATGATCAACGTATTGAATGTTACATTTGACTGCCCTGCAGTTTTGTTGAAGGTTAAACATTTCTTTGTTGGACTCAGTGAGTTTCTTAACTCATCTAAGTTTGATGGTAGCTTTTTGTATTCTTATTTATGGGTTGGTACAATATTAAGTGTTTGCTGTAGTTTCTATGATGGCCTTAGCAGTCCCTGCCAGTGGGAGTCTTCTATTAATATTTTACATTGCAACTTTTTAGCTTGTGTGCTTGGTTTCCTCTTTAAATATTTTATCCTTTTGATTTCTTATTACTCATATTTATTTCTAGGTTTTTTTAATTACCTGAATTTATACCACTTAGTTATTTTACCTTTATCTGTTTTTCTTTCTTTAGATTGAAATGTGCTATGTTCATATACTTACGATGGTCCATATACTGGCCTTATTTAGTGATGTTCGGGAAGAGTGAACATTGCTGATTGACGAGATGCTGTACTAGCTGTTGGTGCTATTTTAACTACACAAATGGTAGATGTCAATATATCATGTCCATGCTGATTGCAGTCTGGTCTTATTCCTACTTACAATGGTCCATATACTGGCCTTATTTAGTGGTGTTCGGGAAGAGTGAACATTGCTGATTGACGAGTTGCTGTACTAGCTGTTGGTGCTATTTTTACTACACAAAGGGTAGATGTCAATTTGTCATGTTCATGCTGATTGCAGTCTGGTCTTATGCTGTTTTGCTGTCATGAAACTCTGGTTGGGTAAGAATAAAACTCATGATTTCAGTCTAATATCCATGGGGTTCTTTCTTTTCTCTGATCACACTTATTTTGCTTTACTGTTTGTAAAAGTTTGTTCCTACAAAGGAAACGTTGATGCTGTTGCCAAAAGTTGATCGGAATTCACTTGCCATTGCATGTAGCTGATGCGGTTTATATAAAAACACATTGACTTTTTCTCTTTTAGGTTCTTTTAGGGAAGAGAAGAAAAAAGGGGTGGGGTTTGGTTATGATTTTCACCAGTTAAATGTTACTGGACCATATTCTTGAGTCATGCCCTTGATGCAATATTGGTATATCTGGTAAATATTGCCGCAAGGTACTTGTTCAGCTGTGTGAAAGATTATTTATTTTCTGCAGAGTTAAGCTTGTATAATAATTTCTGAATAAGTTATGTAATTGTAGCCTTTCTTATGCCAATTTTCTTTTCATTTTGTAGAACTTATTTTGGGTCTCGGTACCAGTATCTTAATCACTGTTTTTTGACAAGTAACCAAATTTTGGACATGTTACATGCATTTATCTCACTTTTATTTATTTTAATCATAGAGTTTTAGATTGAACCATGAGTATTTCTTGGTTGATGGTAATCATTGTTCATGACCAAATGTTGTCTTAATTAAATGTGGTCTCGGAGACTTGATTTTCACTTTATATTAAATAACTCCATCTATTTCTTGTTTACTCCCACTCACTTGTATGATTGGGTCTTAACCATTCAGATGAGTTAGCCTCTCAGATGTATGACTTGGTCATCGTCGACAGAGTTGATTAAGGTAACTTGGTCATGGATCTGGATCACCGTCAACCAAAGCTGAGGAATTTGTTTAAGTTTAAATCAATGTCTTCCTAGTTGCGCATGCTTGTTTGAGGTTGCAGTTGTAGCTATCTTAAAGCTTGCATTTGATGCTATGCGGCCAAAATTGTCTGCCTGTTTTCTAGTTTCTTTGGTCGGATAACTTAAACTAACTCTAGTCAAAAGTCAACTTAAAATCCATGTAATATCATATTTGTCTCACTTTATTTATAAAAAAAACTGATTTGGCTTGGGAAATCTTTTTTATGTTTCATGACGGAGGTGATTACGTGTTAGAGGAGACAAGGACCCCCCAAAAAAAATCAATAATAAGAAAAATGATACGAACATAATCTGTGTAAAGTGGGGAGCATAGCGACTCTAGCCAACTTGATTGAGTCCATATTTGCATAACAAGAAAAATGTTAAGATGGGTTTTTGTGTGTTTTTGGTTTGAAAACGACACGTAATTGATGAAGTATCATAAGATGTAGACCATATAGCAAAAATCCAGGCTTGGATATGAGGAACAAAAGCAAAATATTAAGAAAAATATTAAGATGTAGATGTAAAATGGCAGGCATTTGTCACTAGCTAGAAGAAAAATAAACATTATTCAATCCAACACCCAAAAGCATAAAACAACCTTTATCTGTCCAAGATCAAAACAAATAAAAGAAAACTAACCTACCGACAAAGGAGCAAATGATTATATAAGCAACTAAGAAAAATTATTTACAAAAAAAATAAGAGAGATTGCGTCATGTCTTAGCCCATAGATGCTGAGTCCTTCTAAATAATTTCATAATCAGCATTGCTACATGTCCTTTTTTTTGGACGACTTGTAAAGATATAGAAAATAGAAACAGGATCATGTCATCCTTTTGGAATTGATCATATTTTTCTGTCCAACAAATTATGTTTTGAGTTTAACGCACAAGGGGGCTTTGCATTTGAGTTCACTAGAATGGGGCCTTGTGCGACTCAAATGCAGGATTCCCCATGTGTGTGTCTTCGGCTGGACGGGTGAGGTGGTCTGCCTGCCAAACTCAAGAAGAGAAGGAGGGAGAGTGGAGGTGAAGGTTATTTGGGATATTTGAAGGATATATAATATGCTGTAATTTCCTTCTTTAGGCATGCACATTTGTAATGATTTTGTGATTTTTTTTGTTTTTCTCAGGCATTTGTAAATGCTTTTTTGAATTCGTTGGTCTGGCTCCAATATAAAATTTGATTCTATTTTAATAAGAAGTTGACTAAACACGCCACCCTTGACACTGGACTTAATAACAAGAAATTTAGAAAACAACAAAAGAAGGCTTTCCAAGTTCATAAGGTAATTTTTTTTTTTTGGTCGAAGTTGCAATTCATTGATTTGGTCGAAGTTCATAAAGTCCTCTTCGTCAATTTGTCAAAAGGAACAGAAGGTAGAAGAATTACAATTCAAATACCAGTGGGATGTTAAACCATGACAAGCACCATGGGAACATCAACCTCTAAGAAGCGTTTACGCTCTCTAAGTTTCTTTATCACGTTTGTGTTTGTTTTCATCTCATCAGCAAGTTATGTTGCTTCTGCTGCTTCTTCTCTTGAAGAAGCCGGTGCGCTTCTGCAGTGGAAAACCAGCCTTCAAGACCCTCAGTCACAACTAACTTCATGGACTTCTCTGCACTCTTCCAACACAACAAGTCCATGCACTTGGTTTGCCATTTCTTGCAGCACTGCTATGAGTGTGATCAAAATAAACTTGACTAAGTCTGGTTTACAAGGTACGCTCTCTGGATTTTCGTTCTTGTTGTTCCCGAATCTTGAGCATTTTGATCTCAGCATGAACTCAATCTTTGGTACCATTCCACCTCAAATCAGTCAGCTCTCCAAACTAGTCTATCTTGATTTGTCCTGTAATCGGTTGAACGGTTCAGTTCCTGCTTCTGTGGGAAATCTGAGCAATCTGGCTTACTTGGATCTGTGTAGGAACTATCTAAATAGTTCCATTCCCTTAGAAATGGGGAACCTTTCAAGTTTGGTGGAGCTTTATTTGAATACCAACAATCTAACAGGTTCCATCCCATCAACTCTTGTGAACTTAAAAGGGTTAAGATTGTTATACATGTATGAGAACATGCTTGCTGGCTCCATTCCCCTAGACATAGGAAACATGGTATCTCTCAGGAATATAAGCCTTCACGACAACAATCTTTCTGGTGCTATCCCAGTTTCCTTATGTGACCTGAGAAACCTTACCTTGCTTGAACTCTATCGGAATAATCTTTCAGGCCCTATTCCGGAAAATATTGGAAACTTGAAGTCTCTTCTTGTTCTAAATCTAATGGAGAATAACCTCAGTGGTCCTATTCCCTTGTCAGTTGGTAATTTGAGCAAGTTACAAGTTTTATACATTCGTGACAACCCACTGTCAGGTTCCATTCCTGAAGTCATAGGAAATCTCATGAATTTGGTTGTGTTCCGAGTTGCCAGAAACAATTTAAGTGGTTATTTGCCAGAGAACCTCTGCAAAGGTGGAAAGCTTCAATACTTCACTGCAAATGGCAATAGTCTAATAGGCCGAATACCCAAAAGCTTGAGAAACTGCACAACCTTGTACAGAGTCCGACTTGATGGAAATCAAATCACTGGAAATATATCTGAAGACTTTGGTGTTTATCCAAACTTAGATTACATAAATCTAAGCGATAATAAATTTTATGGCGAAATTTCGGACAAATGGGGTAAATCTCTGCATCAAAACGACCGGTCGCCCAAACCTTGCGACCGGTCGCTGCCTCCATCACTTGCAACCTTAATGTGAGTCAAATTTCCAACACAACTAACAAATGTTGAGATTGCAGGGAACAATATCACTGGTTCCATACCACCTGAGCTTGGAAACTTGACTCAACTTCATCTGCTTAATCTTTAAAACAATTTCACTCACTCCCCTAATGATCTTGTTGTTGATGGACTTTGTGACACACACAATGATGGATGAATCACACACAAACTCTTGAGACAACAACCAAAATTTAGTTGGGAAGATCCCTATGGAACTTGGAAGGCTGACTTTGCTTGTGAAGCTTATGCTGAATGGCAATCAACTTTCTGGTGGTATACCTCAAGAACTTGGATCACTAACTGACCTTGAGTATCTTGACCTGTCCACAAACAATTTGAGCTTGCCAATACCAAGTAGCCTTGGGAACTTTATGCATCTGCACCACATGAATTTGAGCAATAACATGTTGAGCCACAAAACCCCATATCAGTTGGGATTTTTACTTCAGCTGTCTGTGCTGGATTTGAGTTATAACTCTCTGGATGAAGAGATACCAACTGAGTTTTCACAATAACCTCTCTGGTGTTATTCCAGAGAATTTTGAGGAACTTCGTGGCTTGGAGTTTGTCGACATATCATACAATCAATTACAGGGTCCAATTCCAAACAACAAAGCATTTCAAGAGGCTGCATTCCTGGGGAACAAAGGTTTGTGTAATGCTAAAGGTCTGCAGCCCTGTCCTAGCAAAAAGAGGCCTAACTCGAAAGTCAGTTTCAAAATTGTGTACTTAGTTGTGCCACCTGTGGTGGGAGCACTTATAATTGCTTCATGTGGAATTTATATCCCTTTACTAAGAAGAAAGAAACGTCAACAAACAGAAGAATGTGACATGCCCCCCAAAGAATTTGAACTGCGTTCAATTTCGATTTTCGGTGGGAAGTTGTTATATGAAGAAATCATAAAAGCAACTGAGGATTTTGATGATTCATATTGCATTGGAAGAGGGGGAGTTGGAAGGGTTTACAAAGCAAAGCTGCCCTCAGATGACTTGGTAGCTGTAAAGAAGCTCCACAGTCCATGTGATGGTGAGAGGAGCTTCCAAAAGGAGTTCTTAAATGAGGTAAGGGCATTAACTGAGATACGCCATCGAAACATTGTGAAGCTTTTTGGTTTCTGTTCACATTCGCGACACTCATTTTTGGTTTATGAGTACCTTGAAAGGGGTAGCTTGTTTTCAATCTTGGCCAATGATGAGGAGGCTAGTAAATTGGATTGGAGTAAAAGGGTGAATATCATTAAAGGTGTGGCTCATGGCTTATCCTACATGCACTCTGATGTGTCCCCGCCAATTGTTCATCGAGACATATCCAGCAAGAACATTTTGCTAGATGCTGAATATGAGGCTTGCATTTCAGACTTTGGCACTGCTAAGCTTCTTGAGCAGGACTCATCTAACTGGACCGCCGTTGCAGGCACATTCGGATATGTAGCACCAGGTAATTTCTTGTCAAAGTCTGCCATGACATGTTGTCAGGCTGTCTATCTGAACTACACACTCAAATAAGAATCCACCTAATCAAACGATAGTTCAGATCGACAATCTGACACATAACATGCCATGTTATTCGACATAAGATCAGCTCTTGTGTACCTAATCTGTTGTACTCTTAAAAAAAAACTAAAAGACTATTTGACATTTATAACTTTTGTGTTTACCCTTTTGTCAGAGTTTGCTTATACATTGAAGGTGACTGAGAAATGTGACGTCTACAGCTTTGGAGTGTTAGCACTTGAAGTGATTAAAGGACAGTACCCGAATAATATTCTAATAGGGTCTTTGTTGTCACCAGCATTAAGCAGGGAAGGCAAAATTCCGGTGGAATTGCTGGATGGTCGCCTTCCACCACCCACAGATAAAGTTCTGGATGAAATTTTTACTATCTTGAAGCTAGCTGTTCCATGCTTGCATGCCAATCCAAAATTTAGGCCTAGCATGCTTGACGCTTCTCAGATTATAGCACTAGAATTCTCCCAGATAGAGAATGACAGATAGAGGGCTGAATTTATGTTTGGTTGAGGCATTTTGGAGAGGATATGAACTTGGATCATCTCCTTCAATTTGTATAGGCTAGATGTAGCTACCAATTAACTGAACTCTCTGTTTGTGTATAGACAGAATTTTGGTAAACACCCTCTTGCATGTTGTATAAATAATACGAATATCTTATAAAAGTATTCAGAGATGTAATTTTGGTGTTTGGTGATAATTTTTTCTATGAGAATAATAAACTCTTACCAGAAAATATAAGCAGAGGATGGGAGAATCATTAATTGATTTTTCAACCAATTCTGAAAATAATAGTAAATACTCAAAATTTAAGAGCCATTTGATGCCTCTCAACTTGATGAGAAAAACGACACTAGTGCTGACTTTCAGTGTTGGATATTTTGGAAGGAAGTCTGTGGTTAGCTTCCTGTCCCTACACGGAGACAAAGTCAAAAATCACTACTTCAAATTTACGGAAACTTAAAGCAAACAGAGAGAGAAACATGAAGAATAAAAAGTAGGAGAGAAGGAAATTATGATTGAATCTCAAGGATAGCTGGGCTAATGCTTGTGACTTGTGTGAGTGCTCAGCCTTCAGTCGTGCTCTTCTCCTTTATATACCGATCTCTGCAAGATTGCAGCTAAGTGTGAAAAGGGCCTTGTCCTGCTGGAGGTGCTAAAAAAATGGTGCGGTCAATCGTAGGCCATTGGTTATCCTCTATCACAATATCATGATCAGATGAGACCAAATGGCATATTATTCTTATGTAATTTGAACAAGAAAGTTCAGGGGTTGCAATGTAATAACAATTTGTGGAAGAGAAAAAAACAAACATTCCCAAAGAGTTGTCAATCTTTGACTGAAGTGTTTTTCAAATTCCTCAGCACACCATCTTGAGTCTTCCATCTTCATCTAAACAGGACCATAGAAAGAGACCATGTTGCGGATAAAGCCTCAAGCTCTGAATAGTGTTGTTTCTCAAACAAAAGCCATGAGAGCTTCAACTTATGATAAGGTATGCTCTCTAGCTTATTGCCTTATCTTGTATGTTCAGCTAGTTTCATCATCAGCCATTGTTTTTGCTTCTGCTATTTCTACTGAAACAGATGCTCTTCTCAAATGGAAAGCCAGCATTCAAAACCAAACCCAGCTCCAAAATTTAACCTCATGGACTTATCTTCCAAGTAACAATGCCATCAATTCTTCAAGCAATCCAGAAGCAAATGCAAATCCATGTAATATTTGGAGTGGGATTTCCTGCAACACTGCTGGAAGTATCAGCAAGATAAACCTTACCAAGTCTGGTTTACAAGGTACACTGCATGAATTTTCATTCTTGTCCTTTCCCAATGTTGAATATATTGATCTTAGCAGGAATAAGATATATGGTGCCATCCCACCTCAAATCAGCTCCCTCTCCAAACTCATCTATCTTGATCTCTCAGATAATAAGTTGTCAGGAAAAATCCCACCAGAAATTGGTTTCCTAACAAATCTTCAGAACCTGTACCTATATACAAACAAGCTAAATGGATCAGTTCCTCAAGAAATAGGCCAGCTTAAGTCTCTTGTTGTTCTAAATCTCATGGAGAATAGACTCAGTGGTCCTCTTCCCATGTCAATTGGTAATTTGAGCAAATTACAATTTATACAACTACGCGATAACCAACTCTCAGGTTCCATTCCTCAAGTGATAGAAAATCTCATGAATTTGGTTGTGCTGAGACTTGCCAGAAACAATTTCACTGGTCATTTGCCACAGAACCTCTGCCGAGGTGGATTGCTTACAAATTTCACTGCAAATGGCAATCGTCTCATAGGTCGAACCCCCGAAAGCTTGAGAAACTGCACAACCTTATACAGAGTCCGCCTCGATGGAAACCAACTCACTGGAAATATATCTGAAGATTTTGGTGTTTATCCAAACTTGGATTACATAAATCTAAGCAACAATAGATTTTATGGTGAACTTTCCAATAAATGGGGTAGGTCTCTGCAGCTAACAAACCTTGAGATTGCAGGGAACAATGTTACTGGCTCCATACCACCCGAGATTGGAAACTTGACTCAACTGCATTTGCTTAATCTTTCTTCAAATCATTTAGTTGGGAAGATCCCTATGGAACTTGGAAGGCTGACTTCTTTGGTGAGGCTTATACTGAATAACAATCAGCTTTCTGGTGGTATACCTCAAGAACTTGGATCACTGACTCACCTTGACTATCTTGACCTGTCCGCTAACAAACTGAGCCAGTCAATTCCAAGTAGCCTTGGGAATTTTGTCCAAATGCACCACATGAATTTGAGCAACAACAAGTTGAGCCATGGAACCCCAACTAAGTTGGGTAGGTTAGCGCAGCTGTCCGTGCTTGATTTGAGTCATAATAATCTTGCTGAAGAGATACCAACTGAATTTAGCAAGTTGGGTAGCTTGGTGACACTAAATCTCTCCCACAATAACCTCTCTGGTGTTATTCCAGAGAATTTTGAGGAACTTCGTGGCTTGGAGTTTGTCGACATATCATACAATCAATTAAGGGGTCCTATTCCACACAACAAAGCATTTCAAGAGGCTCCCACAGAAGCATTGCAAGGGAACAAAGCTTTGTGTGGCAATGTTACAGGTCTACACCCCTGCAATAATAGTCCTGTTGAAAAGAAGCATAACTCAAAAATTGGTTTCAAAGTTGTGTACTACTTGATCATGCTTCCTGTGTTGGGAGCATTTATGTTTGCTTTCTATGGAATTTTTATCACTTCGCGAAGAAAAAGGGAAAGCCAACAAGAAGAACAAAGTGACATTCACCCGAAAGAATTCGAATTGCGTGCAATATCAATCTTTGATGGAAAAGTATTGTATGAAGAAATTATAAAAGCGACTGAGGATTTTGATGCTGCATATTGCGTTGGGAGGGGGGCAGTTGGAAGCGTTTACAAAGCAAAGCTGCCCTCAGATGACTTGGTAGCTGTCAAGAAACTCCACATTCCATGTGATGGTGTGTGGAGAAAAGAATTCTTAAACGAGGTAAGGGCATTAACTGAGATACGCCATCGAAACATTGTCAAACTTTATGGTTTCTGTTCACATGCACGGCACTCGTTTTTGGTTTACGAGTACCTGGAAAGGGGTAGTTTGTTTTCAATCTTGTGCAATGATGAAGAAGCTAGGAAATTGGATTGGATTAAAAGGGTGAATATCATTAAAGGTGTAGCTCATGGTTTATCCTATATGCACCATGATGTGTCTCTGCCAATTGTTCATCGAGACATATCCAGCAAGAACATTTTGCTAGACACTGAATATGAGGCTTGCATTTCAGACTTCGGAACTGCTAAGATTCTAGATTATGAATCATCTAACTGGACTGCGGTTGTAGGCACAATTGGATACATAGCACCAGGTACAATTCAACATCTTGTGTTGTTTTCATCTGATGATTTGGATTTACATTCTTGGCAACATAATATACATTGTTCTCTTAACTTCTCATATGAGCATCTCTCCCCTAAAATAGAAAACTTATGTTTACCCTTTTTGGCAGAGCTTGCTTACACATTGAAGGTGACAGAGAAATGTGACGTCTATGGTTTTGGGGTGTTAGCTCTTGAAGTGATTAAAGGAAAGTACCCTAGCAATCTAGTGGGATCTGCGTTGTCATCTGCAATCTGGGGAGGCAAAATGTTGGGGGGTGTGTTGGACGATCGCCTTGCGCATCCCACTGGTAAACTTTTGGATGACGTTGTTACCATCCTAAAGCTAGCAGTTGCATGCTTACATGAAAATCCAGAGTTTAGGCCTACCATGCATGACATTTCTTGTAACAATACAAATCTCCCATACACAGAAAGACAAATAGAGGGTTAACTTGAGTTTAGTTGAAACATTTAATAAGGAGGATGTTAAAGCCATTTATTGTATCTTAACCAGCTGCCACCAAATCGTTGTAATTACTAATATTTAGGCTTTGTGAGTTCTTCATTTTGTTGTAATCATATATATATATACAGGCTCTCCTTGAGAGATGGATAACAAGCAATAATTCTTTTCGTACATGGTATGACATCAGATTTGAGCATTTTTCGTCACCAAATTGCCTATCGTTATCATATTAGTTGCGTTTCATTTTCAATGATAAAATGTGCTGTTTGCATGCATACAACATAAAATTGACCGGAAGTGTTAACGATGGAGGAAGACACCTTTAAAGTTAGAAGTCTTAACTCTGAAGCTCAAAGTCTACTGTGAATTTAATATGCAAACAGACAGTAATAGAAAATGGCATTATCATAATATCATTGTTACCAAAACCAAAACAATGAGATCTTCAACTTATTATGACCAAGTATGCTCTGCTCTTCCTAGCCTGCACTCTTCTTTTTCAAGAAGACTGAAATGTTGGGCTACACTTTTCCGCCATACTTTTGCAAGGGGGTTCTGGTTTCTTCTTGTTTTCAAGAAGACTGAAATGTTGGGCTACACTTTTCCGCCATACTTTTGCAAGGGGGTTCTGGTTTTTCGCAAGTTCAAATCTTGCCTTTCCCAAGTGCTTGCTTTTTTCAAAGACATGAACAATATATGTGGTAGTATAATTGAAATTATCAACCTCCGAATTGCTTTTTAATCAAGCATGCCCTTATGTCAATACACTAACTTATTAGTAATTTAGTACAAGTAGCATAGAGTATATTTAAGAGAACCACTAGCTATAGTTGAACTTTCAAATTGATTTGAAGACTATGATTTCTTCATATATTTTTGCTTGGTTTGACATTGTACACGTAGCAGGTAAGTAGGTATCTCCTCACATGTGAATTTTTTATTAATTCCAAGGAGGGGATGCATTATTTGTCTACATTCAAATTTTAAAATAAGAAACAAAGTTCACCAAAAATAAAGAAACAAAGACTTTGACTAAAAGTGTCTGAAGAAAATTCCAACCTGAATGAATTTCCAAATGTGAAATGAATCAATAAGAGGAGGAGAGTTTTCAAGTCTGTGATGCCTCAAGTCTATAAAGCATCAATGTAAAACAAAAAGCCCTGAAATTAAGAAAAAACCATGAGATTTTTAACTTATTTTCTTATCTTGTTGTATGTTCAGCTTATTGCCTCTGGTTCTGAAGAAGCAGAGGCTCTCCTCAAATGGAAAGCCACCTTCCAAAATCAAACCCAGCTGCAAAATCTAACCTCATGGACTTAC